AGAAATCCTAGCTGGATTCAGAAGAGAACAAGGGACATAATTCCTGATATCAAAAGGATCTTTGCTGAAAGCAAAGAATTCTAGAAAGATGTTTACCTGTGTTTTATTGGCTATGCAAGGGCATTCGACTGTGTGGATTATAACAAATCATGGATAACCTTGCAAAGAATGGGAATTCCACAGCACTTAATTGTGCTCATGCGGAACGTGTACGTAGACCAAAAGGAAGCTGTCCAGAAAGAAAAGCGAGAGGCTGTGTTGTTTAAAGTCAAGAAAGGTGTACATTGGAGTTGTATTCTTTAAACATATTTACATATTGGTGTGTATAGTATATATGTTATATACAGCATAGTCTATGCAGTATGTTTTGTACAGCATAGCATATACAGTATAGTATGTACAGTGGTGTAATGGGGTTTTCACTAGGCCGGGGCCCTAGATAGGTGGGCCTGGACCTCAGGGGCTGCTTTTCACTTGGGGGCAGCTCTATTTTAAGGCTGGGGCCCAAGGAAGGTGGGTTCAGGGCACGGGGGCAACTTTTCACTTGGGGGTGGCTCTATTTTAAGGCTGGGGCCTGAGGTAGGTGGGCACAGGGTTCAGGAGCAACTTTTTGCTTGGGGGTGGCTCTATTTTAAGGCTGAGGCCTGAGGTAAGTGGGCACAGAGCTTGAGGGCTGCTTTACGCTTAGAGGCAGCTCTATTTTAAGACCGGGGCCCAAGGTAGGCAGGTGCAGGGCTCAGGTGCTGCTTTTCACTTGGAGGCAGCTCTGTTTTAAGGCCAGGACCCAAGATAGGTGGGGCCAGGGCTCGGGGGGCTTCTTTTCACTTGGGGGTAGTTCTATTTTAGGGCCAGGGTCCCAGGTAGGTGGATGCAGGGCTCAGGGGCTTCTTTGCTCTTGGGGGCAGCTCTATTTTAAGACTGGGACCTGAGGGAGACAGATGCAGAAAGGTTAGGAACAACTAAGGGAGAAGAATTTGTCTGTCAGTTTTTCATCCTGTGGTGGCTTACATGTCACTGTGAGACTGGAGGCTCTGCCACCATGTTGCAAAATGCCAGCAAGGTTACCCTTGGTGGCCAGATTTCAGTGAAGCTTCCAGGCTAAGACGGACTCAGAAGAAGGAAGAGGCCATCCACTTCTCAAGGAATTGGCCAGTGAAAACCTTATAAACAGCAGTGAAACACTGTCTGATATATTACTGGGAAAGTTTATGACTAGCCCTGAAACACTGTCTGATATAATGCCAGCAGACAAGCCCCTCAGGTCAGAAGGCTCTCAAAACTTTGACTGGGGAAGATCTGACTCCTCAGAGTAAGACAACCTTAATGATATGAATAGAGTAAAGCTTTCAGGACCTCCATTGGCTGATGTGGCATGACTCAAAATGAGTAGAAACAGAGGCAAACATCCATTGATAACTAGAACATGGAATGTATGAAGTATGAATCTAGGAAAATGGGAAGTTGTCAAAAATGAAATGGAATGCATAAAGATCAATATCTTAGGCATCAGTGAGCTGAAATGGACTGGTTTTGGCCATTTCGAATCAGACAACTATATGATCTATTGCGCCAGGAATGATGAATTGAAGAGGAATGGTGTGGGAATCATCATCACAAAGGCTGTTTCAAGATCTCTCCTGAAGTACAATGCTGTCAGTGATAGGATAATAGCCACCCCTACAAGGAAGACCAGTTAATATGACTATTATTCAAATTTATGCACCAACTACCAAATTCAAAGATGAGGAAATTGAAGATTTTTATCAGCTTCTGCAGTCTGAAATTGACTGAACATGTAATCAGGGTGTGTTAATTATCACTGGTGACTGGAATGCAAAAGTTGGAAACAAGGAAGAATCACCAGTAGTTGTAAAGTTTGGCCTTGGTGACAGAAATTATGCTGGAAATCACATGACAGAATTTTGTAAGGCCAACGACTTATTCGTTGCAAATACCTTTTTTCAACAACATGAGCAATGATTATACATGTGGACTTCAGCAGATGGAGTACATGGGAATCAGGTTGATCCCTCTGTAGCAAGAGGCAATGGAAAAGCTCAATATCTTCAGCCAAAACAAAGCCAGGAGCTGATTGTGGAACAGACCATCAACTATTCATATGCACATTCAAGTTGAAGTTGAAGGCAGTTAAAACAAGTTCATGAGAGCCAAAATATGGCCTTGATAATATCCCTCCTGAATTTAGAGACCATTTAAAGAATATATTTGTGTAATATGTGCAGTATAGCTTATACAACATACACAGCACAGCGGTACAGTGTAGTACATACTGTCTGTGTCACATATACAGTGTAGTGTGTACAGTATAGCATGTTGTTGCTGTTGTTGTTGTTGTTGTTGTTAAGTGCCGTCGAGTTGCTTCCAACTCATAGTGACCCCATGCACAGCAGAAAAAAACACTGCCTGATCCAGTGCCAGCTCCATGATCCTTGCTATACTTGAGCCCATTGTTGCAGCCACCGTGTCAATCCATCTCGTCGAAGGCCTTCCCCTCTTTCGTCGATCCTCCACCTTACCAAGCATGAAATCCCTCTGTATACATCCTTCACTATAGCATATAAAGTATATACAGCACAGGGTAACAGTGCAGTACATACAGTCTGTGTCACATATACAGTGTAGTGTGTGCAGTATGGCATATACAGTATACACATTACAGGGTGACAGTGTAGTACATACAGTCTGTGTCATTTAAACAGTATAATGTTTGCAGTATAGCATTTACAGTATACACAGCACAGGGTTACAGTGTAGCATATATAGTGTGTGTCACATATATAGTTTGTGCAGTATAGTATATACAGTATATACAGCACATGGTTACTGTGTCATATATACTGCCTGTGTCACATATACAGTGTAGTGTGTGCAGTGTAGCATATACAGTGTATACCACACAGGGTTACAGCATAAGGTTACAGTGTAGTATATAGAATGTGCACAGTATATACAATATAATGTATAAAGTATAGTATGTACACCATAAAGTATATGCAGTATAGTGTATAAAGCCTTCATATTATGTACAGCACAGTGTATATGGTATAGTACTACAGTGTTTATAGTATATACAGTATAGTATGTACACCATATAGTATATGCATATAGTATATGCAGTATAGTGTACATAGCCTGCAGAATATGCACAGCAGTGTACATGGTATAGTACTACAATATTTATAGTCTATGCAATATTGTATGTACAGTGTATACAGCACAACGTATATAGTACATAGTGTATGCAGTACAGTATATGGAGCCTGCAGAGTAGTATACCACAGTGTATATGGTATAGTATTACAGTGTTTACAGTATAGTCTATGCAGTATATACAGTATACCCACTGCCATCAAGTTGACTCCAACTTACAGTGACCCTAGAGGACAGAGTAGAACTGCCTTATAGGGTTTCCAAGGCTGTAAATCTTTACATAAGCAGCAGGTGGTTCTGAACTGCCCAATGGCTTGATTAGCATCCAAATGCTTTAACCACTGTGCCACCAGAGCCCCATATATACAGCATAGTGTATACAGCATAGTGTATTTAGTGTATACATTCCTGCCTCCTCCACCAAAGGGCTGTTCCTCTTGCTGACCCCTGTTCAGCCTCTGATTCTCTCTCCATCTGGCATCCACCACCACCCTTCCCTTGCCCTCAGCCGCTACCCCATCATTGCCTCATCGCATGTCAGATGCACAGCTCAGAGCCCCTCCAGTGTCCCCAGGCTCAGGCCAGTCTTACATCACAGACAAATCACAGACACAACCTGCTCCCCAACTTCTGACCCCCAACAAGTTCACCACAGCCTCATCAGACAGAGTTCATTGGAGAGCAGGGGACCCCATCACACACCTCAGCAGAGCTGTGTGGGTGTAAGGCTGTGGGTGTAGATGTTGTGTTGAAACAAGGAATGTCGGCATCTGCCATAGAGTGAGAGGAGCCAGGGAAGCGGGAAAGAGAGCCCAGTGCAAGGCCTGGGCCACAGTGGGTCCCCGGTGAGTGGGAAAGAATCCAAAGAGAGTATCATTGAATCTCTTTTTAATAAGGTCTCCAATCTTCCTGGGACTTCTTTCTGACCCTCTCATTCCATGATGTCCCCAGTGCTAAGCTCATGGTCACCATGTCCTGGGTACAGGGCTGCCATGGTCCTCTTTCCCAGGCTGAACTTCAGGCCCTAGGATGCCAGGAGCCCCAGCTGTGGTTTAAGGAGAGAGACAAGAGTGGGCATGTCACCGACTGAATTGATTGAATTGAAGGGTATGTGGAAGTCCTATGCCCGGCCCTGTTTGGGAACAGTGTTTCTGTCACACTGGAGAAGAGTAAGCCCTAAACCCAGTACCCTCTGAGTGCTGTCTCACAAATGGAAAACAGACACTGTGACACACACACGGGAAAGGCCAGACAACAGGACAATGGGGGCAGCTGCATCCATGAGCACAGGAAAGCCAAGGATGGCCAGCGGCTGTTAGAAGCTGAGAGACTCTAGGAAGGACCCTCCCCTAGAACCACGTCCTGAATTCAGACTTCCAGGCTCCTGTGAGAAAACCACTTTTTACACTTTAAAGCCACAAATGTGCAGTATTTGTGTCATGCCAGCACCAGGAGGCTGACACAAGGACCCTTTGCAAGCCTTGGAACTCCCAGGTGGTCATGTCACCTGGTTTCTCACAGCAAGGAAAGGCACAGATGGACGAGGACAATGACAAGCCATGAGTCCAGGGGAGACAGTGACTCTACAAGGCCCCTCCTCCACCATTTTGTTTGAGGTCACCCCTGTAGCTCCTCCCCCACACCTCTCTGTTCAGAGTCACCCATCCACCTCACTGGGGACAGGGTGCCCTTTAGAAGGATTCCTGTTTGCTACAAAAAGGGGCCCAAATAGAACACCAGGACCCCTCCTAAAGAGCAGGTCCACCGAAAAGGAAAAAAAAAGGGGCGCAACCCAAGCCCTGGGACTGGGTCGCAGACACACCAGGGGGTTAGATGTAGGTGCTGCCCGGGGCAGAGCCCTGTGTGTAGGAACAGTAGAGGAGGAAGAGCACGAGGGAGGCCAGGGCTGAGAGGGGCACACCGGCGGGACTCAGGAGCGCCTCCTGCGGGCCCTCAGCCTCGCCTGCCTCCTCGTCGGCCTGCTGCTCCACAGGACCGTCCTCAGGTGCCTCCGCGTCATCATACTCCTCCTCCAGCACCGGGTCCCCGGACCCTCTGGACCCCACATCTTTCTCTCCAAAGGAGATGGCACCGATGTCCTCATAGAAACCCTCCGAGGGGGGGTTCCAAGTCATCCCGGGACCTGAAAAATACACCAGAACCTTCTAGAAGAGACCCTCCTCCCAGTCCTAGCGACCCACTGCCCGGCCCTCTGTAGGGTCTCTCATTCATGCACGACCCTGGGCCCCTCCACCAAAAGCCCCACCTGCAAGTGCTGCCTCTCCAAGGGAACCCACAGCTTCTTGGGGGCCCTGGGGTGGGCCACGCTGGTCATCTGGGCCTCTGAGGTAACCCCCAGAAAGCTCCCCAGCTACACAGGACCCACATGGGATCCAGGAGGCCCTCAGAGCTGTTCTCACACCTGGGTACCCCAGGAACCACGGGCGTCTTAACTCAGCTCCAACTCAGAAGCCAGCACCTCAGCTCAGATCCTGCAGCCCCGACAACTGGTGGGTCCATGGAGAGTCACGGCTCAGTGACCATGGATGGGAGGTCCTCACCAGTGTCAGGGCAGTGACAGACACAGAGACCATCCGATAGCTGCTGTCTCCAGGAGCATGCTGCCCCCACAGCCTCCCCATCCCCGGGCTCTGTGTGAGCCATACTGGCTCATGCCCACCTACCCCTGCAGGCTCTGTGGCCACGGCACCACTGAGCCCCTAGGACCAGGGAGACGATGCCCAGGAGGGTGCCAAGGATGATACACACAGTGAAGAGCAGGGAGCCCGCCTCAGGAGCAGCTGGAGGGGCTGAGGGCGGACCTGTGGGGACAGGGAGGGGCCAGGAACATTGTGACCCAGGCATCGATGGCCCAGGCCTCTCTGAAAAGGATGGGAGGGGGACCTGGAGGAGAGATGGCCTTTGTGCTGACACTCCAGGCTGCTCATCTCCCAGAGAGACAGGACTGAGGTCACAGTCCTGAGGGAACCCAGGAGCATGGCCCCAGGTGGGGAGGCCCAGGCAGGGGGGTCGAGGTGGGAGGGACCACGTGGGTGGGACCAGGTAAGAGAACTCGGGGGGAGAATGCACGTGGGCAGGCCCAGGTGAACAGCTCTCATCATCCCCACCACCCTCAGCCGTGCTTGCGAGACAGCCCCACAATGCCCAACAGGACACAGTATCTTAGGGCCAACAGAGTGGTCACCAAGGAAAGACCCTTGGAGCAGCAGCAGTGTGTGTGACCTCAGTTGTCCCTCCCACCGATTCTCCACCCAAGCTGAGGAGGGCAGGAGGGGGTGTTATCAGAGAAGGGAGTGTAGCCATCACTGAGGAGAGACCAGGTCTGAGGAGAGATCTCCCCGCTTCACGGCCCTGTCCCGACTGAGTCCCATCGCAGGGCCTCCTGGACCCAGGGGTGGGAGGCGGGGGGCAGTCCAAGCTGGAGAGGAGAGTACCTACCCGAGTCGGGTGGCAGCACCGTGGTCCCCCTCTCACCTGCAAGGAGAAATGAGGGGACCAAGGGAGCAGGTGGGAGAGCACCAGCTCTGGACGCAGGGACCCTCCTCAACACCCTCAGGCTGCATCCCCAGCCCCCATTGAGCCCATGCAGAGTCCCCTGCCCTTGGCCACCCAGATGGGGCGTCCCAGCCGCTCACTCAGCGCTGTGTCCTAAGTTCTGGGGAAGCAGCAAGCCTCAGGAGAAGATCCACAGCAAACTCTGGGCCATGTCCCACCCAGACGGGCCTGCTGTGCGGGCCCCCTCACACCCACCCTATCCAGTCCAGCCAGCCACCCCCGGGCCTCATCCAGAGGGCCGGCTCACCTGAGCAGTGCACGCCTGCATCCTCCTTATGCAAGCAGTCTCCGTGCCCCCAGGGCACCGAGGGGCAGCCCCACAGTGACATCTCGCTGCCCTTGCAGCCCACCTCATCCAGCCACACAGGCCCTGAGCCGGGCCCGAAGGCGGCCTCCCCCGGGGCACTCAGGGCCCGGCCACAGCCCAGCTGTCGACACACGACGTGTGCATCTGCCAGGTCCCAGGCATCGTCACACACGGTCCCCCAGGTGCCAGCATGCCAGAGCTCCACGCGGCCTGAGCAGCCGTCCTCACCCCCACGCAGGCGCAGCCAGCCCTCCTCTAGGAACACAAGGGCCGGGTCAGGAACTGTTGGGCTAGTTGGACAGAGGGCCTGAGGGTTCCGACACACACCTGGGCAGGGCTCGGTGGCTGAGCAGTTTGGGGTCTCTGTAGTGGCCTGTGGCGTGGCTTCCAGCAGTTCTAAGAATTCAAACAGCAGCCATCCTGGGGGATGCGCACTGCAGGTGTGGGGCCTTAGTAACCTGTTTTTGCCCCACCAGCAGTTCACAGAAGCCCATCCTTGGGACCCACCTGCACAGGAGATCCAGACTTCCTCTCCACGGGCACAGGAGTGTGGGTGCCACGGTGCCGAGGGGCACTGCCACAGCGTGGTGTTACGTAGCTTCCTGCACTTGATGTCATCCAGCCAGGAGATCCCCAGGCCAGCCGCCTGCACAGGCTTGTTCTCCAGCCAACCCTCATCTCCACACCCCAGCTGGGTGCAGATGATGGATACGGAGAACCCCTTCAGGGAGTTGCCGCACACGGCACCCCATGTCCCATTGTAGAAGACCTCCAGCCATCCAGCACAGCTGTGGCTGCCCCCACGCAGCCTCAAGCCCACGGACCCTGGCAGGAAAGCACAGCCCAGGCTCAGAAGGCCTCACTTGAATCAGAGAAGGCTCAGAGGAGGAAGCCACTGACCACTCAGCTGATGCTGTTCAGAGGCTCTGACCCAAGCCCCAGCATCAGTGGCTGATCACCCAGGAACCTCCCGCCCAGGTATCAGGCTAATGGTCAACCAGACTCAATGCCCCCAGAAATTCAACTGCTGGGAAATCTATCACTGGAAATTTCTGGAAATACAGAAAAATCCTTTTGCACAAAGATGACCAATGTAGCAGTGATAACAAGAATTCAAAATGAAAACCAGGAATTGGCCCAGAGCTGATGCTGAGCCCGTCCACGTGGGTCAGTCATCCTGTGTGTTCAGAGTCAGTGACAGTCCTGGCCGGTCAGCCCCAGGTGTTTTCCAGCATCACCCTTGGAGCAGTGTCACATCCAGTAACACTGGGACAGGATAAGGAAGCTCTGACCGTCACAGGATGGAATATTAGACAAGACTCTGTCCTCACGTCAAGAAATCAGCCTTGCTTATGCACAGGGAGATAGCTCAGGGTGCAGAAGAGTATGAAGGGATGGACACTGGGAGGAGGTAACTATGGGGAGGAAGTGGGAGGGGAGCTGCTGCATTGTAAATTTTGGTCAATGACATGAGACAAAGTATATGTGAACTGCTGTATGAAAAGTGAATTTACTCTGTAAATCTTCACCCAAATCCTAATAATAAAAAAAAAAAAAGTAAAAAAAAAAAAAAAAAGAAATCAGCCTTACGAGTAGCGACTATGATCTTAAAAGCTAGCAAGCTGCCATGTAGATGCAACAATGGGTGTCTCCTCGTCAAGAAGAAAGAAGAAAACCAAAATGAATGGAAACAATCAGTCCTAGCGACTGGTACACCATCTGATCTGCAACCTATACAACTATGAGACCAGAAGAACTAGATGGTGCCCAGCTACCACTGTCATCCACTTGGAAGGGATGTAGGAGATCCTGCATAGAGAGGGAGAACAATGTGGAACAAAACTCAAAATCATTTGGAGGCAAAAAAAAAAAAAAGAAGAAGAAGAAGGTGGGGACCAGGTTTGCTGGTCCAATAGAGCCTGGTGAAACCACTGAGACTATGGCCCCTAGCTGCTCTTCAGGTCTGGAATTGAACCCACACATGTGGTTTCCAGCCAAACAAAGTACAGGCAAGTGACTTAAACATTTACCTCAAGTAGACACACACCCTGGAGAGAACAATCATGGGAGAAGGAAGGGCTGCTTATGCACAGGGAGACAGTTCAGGGCGCAGAAGAGTATGGAGGGATGGACACTGGGAAGAGGTAACTATGGGGAGGAAGTGGGAGGGGAGCTGTTGCATTGTAAATTTTGGTCAATGACATGAGACAAAATATATGTGAACTGCTGTATGAAAAGTGAATTTACTCTGTAAATCTTCACCCAAATCAAGATAAAATTTAAAAAAAAAAAAAAAGAAAGAAAGAAAGAAATCAGCCTTAGCGCAGGGACACTGAAGTAAGTTGAAGAAAGGAATCAAACCTTTCTTAGGAAACAGACTAAACTAAAACCAAGCTCACTGGCATGGAGTTGAATCCGACTCATAGCGACCTCTCATTGGGTTTGTGACGTGGTATCTCTACGGAAGTAGATTGCCCAGTCTTCCTTCCGAGGAAGCTGGTGGGTTTGAACCACCAGCCCTCTGGTTAGCAGTCAAATGCCTTAGGAAACAGACTGGTCAACTGCAAACATGGGACACTCCCGCCTGCAGCCAGGCCCCAAAAATTATGTCACAGAGGTGGAGTCTGTCCCACACCCTACCCCAGAATGTAGGCTGACCTTGGGACTTGCCGTGACCCAAGGAACAGGATAAAAGAGACTGGTGCCAGTTCCAGGAAGAACATATGCTGGATCCTAAAACCCACCCAACAATCTTAAAAAAATGGAAATTGCACAGACATGATTTCTGCCCATAATGGAACCAAACAAGAAATCAACAACAGAGAGAGGACAAAGCATCTCCAAACACTGGAAAGTAAACAACACTGTAAAGAAGCCATGTGAGGCTGTGGGGGTGCAAACATTTAACACACATGCCTGCTAACAGAAAGGCTGGACATTCAAGTCCGCCCAGAGGTGACTTGAAAGAAAGGGCTGGGGATGGTGACTGGGCAGGGAGAGAAGGAGAGTGGGTCAGGGTGGGGATGGGGACTGGGCAGGGAAACCCTGTGGCTGGGGGAGTCACTGGGCAGAGAGAGGAGCGTTAGGGTCAGGGCTGGAGATTGTGACTGGGCAGAGAGAGGAGGAGACTGGGGTAGGGTGGGGATGGTGACTGCGGAGGGAAAACAAATGTATACAAACTGTTGAATGTAAAACAAATTCTGCTCTGTAAATTTGCACCTAAAGCATGATTTAAAAAAAAAGAAGAAGAAGGAAAGAAAGAAAGAAAAAGCAAGCACTGTGGAGCGTCCTCTGACACAAGGGGGGTGACAGTGAGTGAGAGTCAGCTGGACAGCACCTGGCGGTTAAACAACCTGTGAGTCAGAGACGGAGTCTCTAAGGGAGTTGTGGAGAAAACAGAACCAAATGAGGATGGAAATACACGTAGGACTTCATGGGCTACAACTAAAGCATGCTGAGAGGGAAATGTATAGCCTCAGGAAGCCGCGAGGGCTTCTGCTCACACGTTCGAGTCACACCAGAACCATGTCCCAGCAGGGGCAAAGGGCAAGGTGCTTTCCCGTGTCGCATCATCACGTGAGAGGCCACCGGCAGCACATGGAGAAAGCTGTGCCGACCACGGATGCGCTGTGTGCACTGTTGAACAAAGCAGCAGCAGCACTGGAAACCCAGGTGCCCACCTGAGCAGACAGCACCGGCGTCCTCCTTGTGCCTGCAGTCATGCCGGCCCCAGCCCCGTGATGGGCACTGCCACAGTGCCAACTCTGTGCCCTCGCAGCCCAGCTCGTCCAGCCAGATGTTCCCGGCCCCAGCCCCAAAGTAGGCAGACCCCAGGGCGCTGAGGGCATGGCCGCAGCCCAGTTGCCTGCAGACCACGAGGGCATCACGCAGGTCCCAGCCATCATCGCACACTGTGCCCCAAGCACCATCCTGAAGCACCTCCACGCGCCCTGTGCAGCGCCCTGGCCCACCGGCCAGCCGCACCCGGAGGCTCCCTGTGGAGAGAGTAAGTCAGGGGGCTGCAGCCAAGTGGACAGACTGGGTCTGGACAGCCTCACTCACCCGAGCAGATGACTCCAACATCCCATGAGCTCACCACAGGCACGAGCAGCGGCATGGACACGTTGCACTGAGCCAGGTGGGTCTCAGTGCCCAGACAACGCACCTGGCTCAGTGCCACCGGCACGCTGCCACGGCCAGGGCCAGGGGCGGTGTAGGCTCTCTCGGCCCTTCCACACTGGAGCTGCTGGCACACGACGCTGGTGCCCCTCGAGTCCCAGGCATCATCCAGGACCCGGCCCCACACCCCATCCAGGGACATCTCCACACGCCCGTCACAGCGACTCTGTCCGTCCCTCAGCCGCAGGGCATGGGGGAGACCTGGGGAGACATGGGCACAGGGGACTGGCCAGCAGGGTCTCAGAGGTGATGGACACCTGATGGGAAGTTGGAAAGGACGTCTACCTCCAATAGGGCCGCACCTACCCTCAGCCTCCCTGTATGCTTCCTTTGCATAGTTCCTGCCCACCTCCGCACCGTGGGCTGCCTAGCACCCACCTGAGCAGATAGCAGCAGCTGTGTTTCCGGGGACACAGGCTGGTGCCCCCAGGGTGCTCACTGGACAATTCCATAGATAGGGCTCTGTCCCTGCGCAGTGGAACACATCAGGCCAGATGGGACCTTCATCTCCCCCAAAATAGCCTCCTTGAGGTGTGGCTACTGCGTTACCACAACTGAGCTGGTGGCAGAGGACGGTGGCATCCTCCATGTCCCAGTGGGTGGCACAGAGGGGCGCCCAGGCCCCCTGTATCTGGAGCTCCACTCGTCCTGCACAGCCACTGCTACCATTGGCCAGCCGGAACTCTGGGGGGAAGGAGGGACAGCATCACCCCCAGACCCCACAGACACCATACAGAACCATTTCTGTGCCTCGCATCCAGGGTGGGGGGCACTGACCCAGCCCCTTGCAGTCTCCAGTCCCCCCACCCCTCAACAACAGCATCCAGCTCCACAGCATCTCTGCAGAGGAGCACCCCCAGCCCCATCCCGTGGAGGGCTTCGGGGCTCCCAGAGTCAGAGACCAGGGCTCCTCCCCCAGCCCACACCCTGTCCCAGAACCAGTGGACACTAACACTCCCGCAGACAGCAACTCCCATAGCCTTCATGGCCTCCAGACACTGCCACATGCTGGCCTTTGAGTCCCTGGGGGTAGAGGGTTATGGAGGGAGACTGGGAGGAGTGAGAAACAGCCTGAACCCTCATCCACCCCCTTCACTTAAGCCCCTTCCACCACCATTGCCACCTCACCTGAGCACCTGAGTCCCGCGTCGTGACTGTGGTCGCAGGGCTCAGGGCGCCCGGGCCCCCGCGGACAGTGGAACAGCAGAGATTCGTTGCCCACGCAGCGGAAGGCTTCGGCCCACACAGGCCCTGAGCCCTGGCCAAAGTGTGCACCCCCGGGGATGGAGACGGCCGAGCCGCACTGCAGCTCCCTGCAGACCACATGGCCCGTGGGCAGGTCCAGGTCGGCATCGCAGACAGTGCCCCAGGTCAGGCCTCGCCGCACCTCTAGGCGCCCGGCGCAGGGGTGCTCCCCGCCCACCAGCCGGGCCTCCGTGTGCCCTGGGGACAGACACTTCTCTGGGCAGGAGGCAGAGTTCTCCGGGCCCTTCGGATTGCATCAGGGGAGAGCTGAGTCCCTGCTTACTCCAGGGCAGACGTCAGGGCCACCTGCTACAGGCCACATGCTCACAGTCTTACAGCCTTGAGGAGAGGCTGACAGCCGCAAAAGGGGCCCCAGGACACCCTTCAGTGCAGGGCCACAGAATGCTGCTTCTGGGGCACAAGGGTGGGTGGACTGTCCACCTCTCTGGCCAGAACCCAGCGAGAGCTTTGGGGACCAGTTCAACACACAGATACTTCAACAAGGCAGGAAGAGGATGACTCACTGCCCCACTAGACACAGTTAGACTCTGATGGTAGCAGCTGAGAGGACAGCACCGACTCTGCAGGGGAGGCCAGGACCCTGCAGACCTGATGTTCCTGAGCCAGGACCTGCTCTCAGAAGATGACACAGACCCCACCTGCCTGGGGTCTGCCCTGCGGACCCCTGCTGGGCCACCCAACCAGGAGAGGTCTCTGGTCTCTGCACCTCTAGAACTTTGTCCCAAACAGTGACATCAGGTCTCTTCAGGAAGGGTCTGGCCTCCCTTCAGTCCCCTGGCCTCCCAGATGGCTCTAATTTCCCCTAAGAAACTGGTGTTCCTGAGGACAGCCCACAGAGGCCTGCACCATACACAGGACAGAGGCCCGGGACTTCTCCCATGTGCAACACACCCTTCCAGTCCTCTGAGTCCTGCCTGCTCCCCCTCCCTGCTCTCCACAGCACAGGCTCTGGTGCCACCAGGGAAAGTCAGCCGGGGTGGGTCTCCACCAGGGAGGAGGGCTCACCTGCACAGACCACCTCTGCATCCAGATGGAGGGCACAGCCGCGCCGCCGCAAGTTGTTGAGCCGGCAGTTGCGGATGGTGGGCTCAGTACCCTTGCAGACCATGTACTTCTCGCCAGCAGCCTTGCCTGCACTGGGGGCCCGGACTGCAGCACCACAGGCCAGCTCGCGGCAGAATACCGTGGCCTCCTCCTGGTGGAGGCCACAGAGGCGGTCCACCCCGTTGACATTGCGGATCTCCGGGAGCCCTGCGCAGGGGCTGCGGCCCTTCACCAGCCGGATCTCCCGGAAGGTGCCGTCTGCAGGGCACAGAAGACTGATGGAGCCCACGTCCTGCCCAGGAACCACGGCCACTGGCCGCACTCCACCATGGCTGGAGAGGCTGTAGGGCTGCAACCTGAGATGGTGGTGCTCTCACTTCTAGGGGCCAAGCTGAGTGTTGGGTGCAGGACCAGACTACAGGGCATTTCCTCAGAGGGGAGCTCACCCCAGGAGGGCCTGCACCCAGGAAGCCCTGTGTCCACAGAGACCCGCGCTCAGACCTAGCCCTGTTCTCAGGGGTCCCAGAGCCCTTGGCAGGCCCCGCCCCATCCCGCTGCTTGCTTACTTGCGCACAAAGCTACCACCAACCACTCGTGGGGGCAGGCGCTGGACCACCACTCCCCAAGGCTGCACTCCCAGAAGGAGGCCTCGTCGCCTCTGCAGGAGACGTTGTGAAGCCAGGGCTGGACCACCTCTCCCGGCAGTGGGACGTACTTTGGGGCTCCCACTGCTGGCCCGCAGCCCAGCTGCCTGCAGACCACTGAAGCCTCTGCCAGTGTCCACTCTTGGTTGCACAGGGACCCCCACTTGCCCTGGTGCCACACCAGCACGACTCCGTCACACGGGCTGTGTCGGTAGGCCAGCTTCAGTCTCTCTGCCCAGCCCCCTGCAGAGGGAAGGAGCCAGGTTGACTCAAGGGAGAAGGGCAGTGATGAGGACAGGAGCTGCAACAGGAGTGAGGGATCCTCCCGAGGCCACCGTACCAGCCAGGTGTCCCTCAGGTGTCCCACAAAAGGGTGTATGAGTGCAGAGATGGCCTGACCTCCACAGTCTCCACCCATGTCCTCTCCTCTGGCATCTGGAGCCAGCGGACCACACCCAGCAGACTGCACCACAAACCAGTGTCTGGTCACCCTGGGAGCAGCCTCTCGCGGTCCCCAGCAGGGAAGTCCCAGTCCTGCATCCTGAAGACCTCACCTCCCTGCACAGACCCCCTGCCTCTCAGACAAGGCCATGAGGCCCTACTGCCAGTGGGGTACTCACAGCTCTTCCTCGCTCTGCCCACTCTCCCCCTTTGATCACCCCCCACCCCAGTCAGATTCTAGTTCACCCCTGCTGGTCTCCTAAGAGACACTCAGCGTCTAGGAAGTTGCATGAGCAGCCCACCCACCTGCCTCCCCCTCTCACACTGCACCCCTCCAGGCCAAGCCACACCACTCCCATGGCAGGCCTCTGATCGTCCATGACCAATCTCAGCCCACCCTTAGCCTCACCGCTTCCTCCAGGCTTCTCCTCCTGCTGCCCAACCTTGTGCTCCCACCCTGGCCTACCTTACCTGCTAGACCTCTCTGACCCTGGTCTTCCTAGCACCCCTGCGACCCTTGACCTCAGCACAACCTCCAATCCTCCATCACACACACAGGCTCCCCACATGCTCACACACTCACCTATACACTTGCTCACACATTCATACACACATCTTCTTACACACATGTTCACACACTCACACATTCACACTCACCCAGATACTCATGCACACATATACAGTCACACACACACTCATCCTCACACACACATACAGGCTACAGGCTCACCACATGCTCACTCATTCACCTATGCACTTGCTCATACACTCACACTCACACACACACAACCACTTACACACATGCTCACACACACATTCACACAAACATGCACACTCATCTACTCACACTTTCACACATTCTCCCACATGCTCACACATATTCACACACATGCACTGTGACACACACACCCATCTACTGACACACAAACACACATCTACACACACTCATATGTTCACACACACTACCACATGCACATTCATCCATTCATATATATCTATACACACATACACACTCACCCACTCACATACACATGCTCACTCACACACATACACACTCACATACAATACACTTACACTCACTCACATGCACACATTCACACTCATACTCCCTCACACACTTCACACTCACATACCCCCTATTGTAGGTCCCCAGCATACCCCTTCCAGAGTAGGGGGGCCTATGTTCTTACCCCAGCCTCTCCTGCTATCCCTCTGGCAGGATCCCCTCTACTGCCTCCTGCCCAGGGCCTGTACACACCTGTGCCCCTCCTACACATGTGCCTCTCTGTGGCCTCATGTGTATCTCACACCAACCCCAATGCTTGGTCCTCTGCCTGGTGCAGGTGGCAACCTTACCTACCCTGAAGACACCTGGTCTATCAGGGGAAGGCAGAGGGAGCACCCCATTGGAGCACACTTCTCTGTGCCTTATACCCACCTGTGCAGTGGTGCCAGTGACCAGGCTATGTTCCTTACTCTTTGTGCCCCAGTTCTGAGAAGTGGTTCTCCCTGTAACTGGGACTGTGTTCAATGCTGCTACCACAGAGCCCATGACAGGAGTTCCAGGGGGACCAGCCCACTGGAGCCCACCACCCTTATTGCCCCAAGACATCCCAATCACCCTCTAAAGTGAGAAGGACTGAGCAGAGAGAAGGTCAAAGAGCCATGGGCCCTTAGAGAGTGGCTTCCTGGGACCTGACATCCAGGAAGCCCCTGCCTCCAGAAGGTTCCATGGGCCAAGAGAGGAGGAACTTACCCATGGGAACTGTCTTGAAAGTGAGGAGAAGGGATCCAAGTCCCAGGGTCCAGAGAGCTGCCCTCATGGCCTCCAGACTGCGTGATGGCAGAGGTCACGCTGGAATCAGATATGTGCGGGTGGTCCCATGTGTGGCTGCAGGCCCAGTGGAGGCAGTGGGGCTTCTGGAGCACATGAGCAGCTCATCTCCTGACCCATAAGCAGAGCAGCCAATGGCCTGCCAGCCTAGGCATCACCAAACATGGGCAAGGGGCCCGCAGCTGGTGGTTTCCTCCCACATTAACTGCTGACATGAGGGGCTCGCCGAGACCCCAGACCCACCCGTGGGCTTTCTCTCTGCTAACTCATCCCTACACTTTCTCTTACCAATCACAGCCTGTTTTCAAAAACGACTTTTTAAAAAAAAGGAGAATGCAGCGAAGGAAAGCATCCCAGTGGGGAGCACAGCCTGAGTCTAGTTTTCTGACCAGGCAGCCTGTGCTCCCTGCTGCCTGACCCTTCCTGTGGACACTACAGCCCCGAGCTTTGGTGCCTCCTGTCACTTCTCCTCGGTGCCTCTCCTCCACCTCCACCTCCACCTCCTCCTCCACCCTTCTGTTTCTCCCTCCTCTGCCTCCTCCATCTCTTCCCCCTCCTCTCCTCCCTCCACTATGATGATGAGTTGTTTCACAAGTGTTGATGATGAGCTCACTCAGACAATAATAGGAGTTGGATGGGGACTCAGGTTCTGTGGAGGGCTGCAGAGTGAAAAAACGGGGAATCTGGAGCTCAGAATCAGGCCTGAAGTGGGCCTGCAGGTAGATAGCAGCAGGATGGTAGCTCTGGGGTCAGAAACAGCTGATGCAACTGTCAGTCGATGGTGAGAGTCCACCTCACCCTCGGGGCAACTTCCTTCCAAAGAGGTCTGAGTAGGGGGCCTGCAGAGGAAGCAGACTTGTAAAAAAGCACAGAACCTAAACTTGGGCCCAGTGGGGTTTGGCGGGCTGTGGTTTCATGTTCACCTCACTCAGGTGCATCTCTCTTCTTCAAAGCTGCCTGGGATGGCTCGCTGGCTGGAGACTCAAGTGCAAACACCACTGACTTAGCTTGACTGTCCCGCTGAAATCAACCCCCATACAAGGGCTTGTTCCTGGTTTGGCATGAGAGGAACATCCTGAACACAGATTCGGGGAAAAGCCGATGGTAAACCAGGGCCCATGGGATAAGTGGAGTAGAAAGCCCGCACCATCATACCAGAGGGTGACTTCTTTAGGGATGGGGAGGCTGCCTCCTTGGGAGATGCAGGAGCTAGAGGTCAGTATCTTAGTTCTGCCCTCCCGAGGCTGAGGAGTCTCCTCCGCCTGGTCCTGACACTTTGCCCCGATAGCCTCTCTCGCTACCATCTTCAAAGGAAACCGGGGAGTAGGTATTATTCTTCCTTTATGTGTAAATAAATTAAGATTTAGATTCAAAATTTTCCCAAGTTCATGTGAGAAGGTAGCAGATTTGGGACTGCCACCAAGGTCTTCTGATCCTGAATCCCAGGATTTTTGCATCTTGCCACATGTACTTAAAGAAAAACATACTTCTTTTTGGAAAATTCAGTTGTTATTAAGAAAAGCCCAGGCTGGGGACTCCTGATGCCCTACTTGACCGCACTATAATTTCAGTACCACCAGTTCACGCTGCACTTTTGTACATATTCCCACTCTAAAACCAACACACCCAAAAACTCTCTCCCAAGCCTCATATAAGATCAATAGTGTGCAGAAGATGACTGTGTCTGACCCTCATGGTCTTGTTTTCTGAAGTAATCAATAAATTTATCACTGTTTTTTTCTTTCAGATTTTAAATGAGTGTCTCAGTCTTTGAGATGATACCAGAGGTAAACATGAAACATCAAGAATGAAGGAAGAGTAACAGAAATAATCAATTTCAGGGTAGCTATAACAGGCCATCTTTATCTCTTAAAATTATTTAAAACATTCATGACAATTGAAAGTAAAAGATTACAATTGTCTGGCAGAATTTTCATTAAATCTAGATGCAATACATAAAACAACTACAACATAAAGGGATGAAGGTAATAGGATCTATATAGTTTAAAGCTTCTATATTCTTCTTGATGATGTAAAATATAAACTCTAAGCAGTCCATGGAGGCTGTATATTGTAATCCACTGAGCAACCAATGAAACAAACAAATACATAGAGACAGAGGCCAAAGTCAACAGATTAAGTGGAATAGTCCCAAATAAATAAATAAATAAACATTCCAAAAGATGACAGAAAAGGGAAAAACAAAAAACAAATGGTAAAATGGTAAAACCCTAATTCCAACCACAGCAATAACCGTGGGAGCTCTGGTGGCACAGTGCCTAAGGCACCTGACTGCTAACCAGAAGTCTGGTGGTTCAAACCCACCAGCCACTCCTCAGGAGGAAGATTGGGTAATCTACTTCATAGTGATACCACCTCAGAAACTCAAGGAGGGGTTGCTACGACCCGACAGTGAGTTTGGTGTTTTGTTTTGTTTTTTGATTTAATTCCAACCACAACAGTAACTGCAGTGAAGGCAACATGCAATTGCAAATGACTTAAACACATGAATTAAAAGGCAGAAATAAACATCTGCAACAATTAGAAAAAGAGCCACCAAAAATGCCTACAGTCACCAGAAGAAAAGAAATATTAAGGATTTGAGCAGAAATAAATGAAACACAAAAATCAACAAGACTATGTTGGTTCTTTGAAAAGATTAATAAAATCTACAAACCACTCGCAAACTTAACAAAGGAAAAGATGCAAATAACACAAATAAGAAATGAAATGGGCAATATAACAATCAAAAAAGAAAAAAAAAAAAAAAAAAACCTCACTGCCCGCAAGTCAGAGCTGACTCATAGTGACCCCTCCTTGGATTTCTGAGGCAGTATCACTACAGAAGTAGATTGACCAGTCTTCCTTCCGAGGAGTGGCTGGGGGCACTGGTTAGCAGTCAAATGCCTTAGGCATAACAGAACCAACCAAAATAAAAAGGATAATATCAGGATCCCATGAAGAACTGTACTCCAACAAATTTGAAAACATAGAAGAAATGTATAGATTTCTAGAAATACACTACTTACCTAAACTAACACAGACTGAGGTAGAAAATTTGAATAGACCCATAACATAAGAAGAAATTGAAAAAAATATACCAAAAAAAGAAAAGTCCTGGCTCAGATGCTTTCACTGGAGAA